CGATTGGCCGGGACCTGGGCTGGATCTGGCTGTGGAGGCGCAACCTGTCGCTGCGCCAGCACGCGTCACTCAACTTCTCCCTGCAGAGGTGGGCCGGGGGGGGGGGGTAAGTGAAGCAAAAGTAAAAACAAAACCGGAACGGCAGGTGCTCCTCCGCGGCAGGGCTGCCTGGGAGCTGGGCGGATGCAGTGGTGGGAGGGCGGACCCGGGGCGCACGCACGCAGGGGGGCGGGGTGGGCGCCGTGCTTTGCTGCTCTCAACGCCGCCGGACGCCGGCCTGCCAGGTCGCCGCCAGGCAGCCCATCCGCCTCGCTATGCCCTGCTGCGCCTCTTCTCTCACCCCCAAAATGGCACACACACATGCACGCGCACACACACACACACACACACACACATACACGCACACACACACACCACGCCACCCCTGCCCTGCCCCCTCACCTGCCCCGCCTCGCAGCTACACCGACCACGGCGGCGGCCTGCTGGACGACGTCGCCAGGCAGGGGAGCCTGGAGGAGCTGCGCGCCTTCCTGCGACACATGAGGGACACGTGAGCCCGCCGCTTTCTTTCTCTTTTTGTTAAACTCAGCTGCAGTGGCCTGCAGGCCCCTGCCCGAGCGCCTGCCGGCCACTGCCTGCGCCCGCAGGGGTGTTGGGGGTGGGGTGGGGCGGTGGCCAGCCGCAGGCAGCCAGCAGTGTGTGTGAGTGTGGTGTGTGGGGGGGGGCAGTGGGCCCGCGGGCAGCTGGTGGTGTGCAGCTGCTGCAAGCCAAACCGGCCCGGCGGCAGCCTGCGCGGCGCCTGGCGCGGCGCTGACGAGGCGTGCGCGCTGTGCATGCTGTGCTGGCTGGCTGTGCTGGTTGCAGGGGCAAGCTGCTGCACCTGGCAACCACCCTGGAGCGCACGCTGGGCGTGCCGGCCGGCGACGGCCTGCGCGCGCGTCCCGCGCCGCGCAGCAGCAGCTGCGCCCCCGGCGCGCCGGTGGTCGCTGCGGCTGCGGCAGCAAGTGGCGGCGGCGGCGGCGGGGTGGTGGTGGAGGAGGAGGAGGATGCTGAGGTGGAGCTGGCTGCTGAGGAGATGCTGCATCTGCTAGGCGGCGGCAGCAAAGGAGGAGGGGGAGGGGTCGGCGGGCCGCAACGGCAGCAGCACCAGCAGCAGCGCAGGCCGGCGCCGCCAAAGCGGGCGCGCTCGGCAGGCGAGGGGGAGGAGGAGGAGGAGGGGGAGGGCGGCAGCGGCGGCGGCAGCCGCAGCCCTAGCTACAGCAGCCCCGAGGAGGACAGCGGGGAGGATGCAGGTGCGGCCGGCGCGCGGGCTGCTCAGTCCTGCGCTGCCGCCGGCAATCCCGCCGCCGGGCTGCCTGCTCGCTCCACCCATTGGGGCCCTCGCGCCACCAACCTTCCCCTCCCTGACCCCGACCCCTTGCCCCTCTGTTCCCCACCCCGGCCTCCCCGCCGGCCTCCAGGCGCTATAGAGGACTCTGGGGATGATGAGTGGAGGGCGGGGCGCAAGCGGAGGCGCCACCCGCGCAAGCGCGCGCACGTCACGCCGCCACCGCCGCCGCCCGCGCCGCCCGCCGCCACCGCGCGCGGCGTCGGCGGCTGGGTGGTCGAGAACGGCGGGCCCGCGGCGGCGGCGGCGACGGGGACGCTGGGGGCGCAATTGGCGCAGGCGCAGCAGGCGCAGCCGGCCGCCGTGCCCGCCTACCAGCAGAGCGCCACCATGCGCCTGCTGCTGTCCGGCGGCGACGGCGCGGCGCCCGGCTGGCCGCCGGCCGCGGCGGCGGCGGCGGCGGCGCCAAGCCCGAGCCCTCGGGGGCCGTCGCCAGCGGGGCAGGGCCTGCGGCGCCGTCCGTCGGGCGTGTCCCTGGCCGGCCCTGCCTCCACGCCCGTGCGGGGCGGCACTGCCGAGGCGGAGGAGATGGTCACGCCCGGCAGCAGCGGCGGCAGCCTGGCCAGCCGCTTTGTGGGCGTGCAGCGCATCGCCTCTAGCAAGAACGCCAGCAAGGCGTGGATCCCGCGCCCCACGGGTGAGAGCAGACTTGCCCTGGCTGCCTGCCTGCCCGCCTGCCGCATGCCTGCCCGCCTGCCTGCCTAGCAGCCGCAGTGTAGCCTGCGCCGCACGCCCGCCTGGCCGGCGCACGCAGCAGCCCGGGGAGCGGCCCCCGCGCCTCCTGTTTGAGCAGCGGCAGGGGCCCGGCTCCCCGCCCGCCGCCCGGCGGCTCTCATCCTGCCGCCACCCCGCGGCCCTCCGTACCGCCGTATCGCCCCCTGCAGTACGCGTCCTGGACGGCAGGCGCTCCTCCTCCAAGCAGCTGACGCTTTGCTACTGCGACACGTGAGCGCCGCAGCGGGCTATAAGCGATCTTGCTTGCAGCATCTTGGTGCCGCGCGCCGGCCTTGCGGGCTGCAGGCAGCCCCTGCCCACGCCACGCCCTCGCCCCTGCGCTGGCGCTGCCTCGGCGCGCCGCTGCCCGCAGCCGAGGCCTGCCCCCTGCCTCGCCTGCCCTCCGCCTGCCCCTGCCTGCCCCCTCTGCCCGCCGTGCCCGGTGCTGTGCCCGAACCGCGCCATCCCGCCTCCCCACCCCGCCTCACCACCCCGCCTGCCCCTGCACCCTGCCTGCAGCGCGGAGGAGGCGGCGGTGGCTCGGGACCTCGCCACCGTGTGGAATTGGGAGCAGCTGGGCGGGCAGGAGCACGGCGGGCAGCAGCGACTCAACTTCTCGCTGGCCAGGTGGGGGCGCGGGGATGTGCGGGGGCGGCGGGGTCGGGGCAGTGCCGGGCCCTGGCGGCGGCGCAGTCGCCAAAGATGGGGATCGCGGGCGCCTGCCTGCCTGCCTGCCTGCCTGCCTGCCTGCCTGGTGCGGCGGAACCTCCGCCGGCCAGGCCAGGCGGTGTCGACGAGCGAGGGAGGCGCGGCAGCGGGGGCGAGGGGTGGCGCCATGCACCCCCCACGCCGGCCTCGACCCGGTGTGCCGCCCTGCCTGCCTGCCAACCTGCCCTCCTGGCCCCCCTGCCCCCCTGGCCCGCTCGCCTGCCACGGAAGCGCAGGTACCAGGCGCAGCCTGGCCTCATGAGCCAGCTGCGGGGGGTGGCCACCACAGAAGCGATGCAGGCTCTGGCCAAGGAGCTGCGGGACGCCGGCGCGCTGCGCCAGCTGGCGGCCGCCCTGGGCGCCAGCCCCACGCGCGGCAGCGGCGGCAGGGACCCGCGCCCGGCGGCGGCCGCCAGCGGGGCTCAGCCCCAGCTCGGGGGCGCCGCTGCCGGCGGCGGCGGCGGGCGTGGCGGCGGCCAACGGTGGCCGCCTGGAGGTTGAGATCGAGGTGCCCGAGATACGATCAGTAGATTAGCAGATCACCTGAGTACATCAGTAGATTAGAACAGTAGGTACATCGGACAGCTGGCTGGCCCGTACCGCCCAGCCTTGACAGCGCCTTGCGCTGCAGCCGCCGCCCGCGGCGCCCTGCGCGCCTCGCCCTGTACCGCCATGCTTCCTGGTACTGCCTCCAGCACCGCAGTTGAACCTGTGTAGCCACCTCCTGTGCAGCTGCCACCACCTCCGGGGCCTCTGTTGTATACCCATCTGCTTGCCTTCCCCATGCCTGCTTGCCCTTGTTCCACGCCTCGCCTGTTCCTTTGAGTGCCTGTGAGTGCTTGCCAGCCGATTCCCCTACGTTGAGCGCCGCGGTGGGCCTGCCAGTGCCCGCCCACCTTCACGCCCATGCCTCTGCTTCTTGCTTGCACAGCTCCGGCACTACGGTTGCCCCTCGTGTCAAGAAGACATAGGCGCCACCCTCAGGCCCATTCATTTGCGGATTCTGCCCACATGTGCTGTGCCTGCTGTGCGAGCGGCGTTCTTGCGCTGTGGTCGCCTGGCTGTGCCCAGTGGGCAGGCAGGTGTAGGCAGGCAGGCAAGCAGGCATGCAAAGCATTGACACACTCAGAAGGGTCCTGTACCCTTACTGTCGCACCTGATGCCTCTGCTTGACTCTCCAAGGGGCGTGCAGACCCGTCAAGTTGGTGTAGCGGCGGAAGTGGATCGCGGGCAACAGCACAAGTTGAACGAACAGCACTGTGAACGCGGGGAAGACTAGTGGGGCTAAAAGGGTGCACCGCAGGGCCAGGCCCAGGTGTTGCCGCCTGCGCTTCGCACGCTGGCGCGGGCGGCGACATGGTCTGTGAGAGAATGCTGCGAAAAGCTTGCCCCGGATGCTTGCAACTGCACACAAACAAGACCGCCGTATGAGTGATCTGGAGGGACAGCCTGGCCTGCTCAACCAGGCTGCCTCCGCTCCCTGCATGTTCTGCCGTGATCGGTGGTGGACCCAGCACCCAACATGAGGAGGGCCCTCCTGCCCCGGTGTTTACAAGTGGCAAGGTGCCTAACAAACTCCTAATAAGAAAGCAATCTAGTTGCAAATACACATTGTGGCAGCAGGAAACCCAGCACCATATAAACCGTACACAAGAACATGCACATCACCCGAAAAGCATAGTGCTCCCGTCTCTTCAGCATGACGCCAGCTGTGCTCCCTCTCCCCAAATGCCACCCCGCTGCACCGTGCTCTGCCCCCGCTGTCCCAGCGGCCAGCCTGCACTTGCGCCTTGATCCGTGTAGCATCATGGATCCGCGGCTCCTCCGCCGCCGTCGCCGTCGCCGCCGCCTCCTCCAGTACCGCCGCCCTCCGCCTCAAACAGGTGCTCCCTGGCGCCCGCCGGCAGCAGCCCCGGCACCACGCCGTGCGGCACAGGCGGCTTCTTCAGCAGCACAATGCTGGGCGCCGCGAATGCCAGCACCAGCACCAGAACATCCTGCGGCGGTGGTGGAGGGGGCAGGGGCGTGGCAGCACCGGTAAGGGCATGGCAGGGTGGGCTGGCGGGTGCACAACTTTCGTACTGCCAGGGAATCCCGCTGCTGGGAGGGTGCAATAGCCCTGGCTTGGTACACAGAGCCGCAGGGAGGCCGCAGTGAGCCGAGAGCTGCCAGTGCCGCAGCATTGCCATGGCGGGTGCTGCACAGGTGTGGGTGCAGGTGCCTTGACCGGCCAGTGCAGGCACTGGATGAGCCGCGGTTCTCGCCTGGGGCAGGTCAGTAAGGCCGCAGCCGCTCTCCGCCTGGGCTGCCGCCTGCGCCGCTCTGCGGCTGCGTGTCAGCGGCCCGCGCCGCTGCCTTGGCTGCTGCCCCGGCTGCCGCCGCAGGCGGTGCGCGCACAGCAGCAGCGCGGAGGCGGCCTGGCGGAAGGCGGGCGGGGCGTGGGCGTGCACGGCGGGGGACCAGGGCGCGCGCTGCGCATCGCGGATGGCGACCTGCAGCGGCGGCGGCCGCTGCGCCAGCTGCCAGTGGTAGAGCGGAGGGCCGGGCAAGGGCTGCTGGGGCTGCGGCGCGTAGAAGACGGGAGCAGCGGTGGGGCCCGCCACCAGCGGCGCCTCAGGGTCGGCTGCATCCCGGAAGATCCAAGGATGCGTGGTGAACGTGTAGACGACCCGCTTGGCGCGCCCGGCGGCAGCACATAGTAGCACTGCGGGGCGCCGGCAAAGTCCAGCCACAGCACCTCCACGCTGCGCTGTGTCTCGATGGCGAACCGCACGTCGGCACGCACACGCGAGTTGAGGCTGCGGTGCTGTGGCGGCCCGCAGCCGGCGGCGGCGGCGGCGGCGGCCGCTGCTACCACGGTCAGGTCGGCCTGCGTGCTGTGCGGCGCCTTTGCTCGGAAGCACGGTATTGCGCAGAGACCCTAGAATCGAGCGGGGCTGCTCCAGAGCGGGGCTGGACCTTCGGCTTCGATCGCCCGGTGAGAGCCCGCCCGGGTCGTTTGGCCGCTGCAGGGCGATTACTGCACTCCGCAGGATGTAAATCCACCGAATGCAAGCGATCTGGAAGTTCCGCAAACCACATCCGCCAACTCAGCGCTGCACCGCCACGCTGGGCCGCCTTGGAAGTTGTGCAGCCATGCACACCGCAGTGCGAAACTACAGGGAGTCGAGTGCCATGGCTGCCACAAGATGGGGGTGCTCATACCGTCGGTTCAACCAAGTTCTTGAGATGGAAGCCAACAAGAGGCATGCGTCTTGTTCGCCTGCCTAGGCAGGCGACAGGCGGAGTTGTATGAAAACACCACACTGCGATAAGTTAAGGGAGCACTGCATCGGCGGCGGCTGCCGTCAGAGCTGCCACTCCAGCCCTCGTCGGCGCCACAGCCGTGCGACAGCGCTGCCCCTCGGGCAGTACACACACGGCCGGTTTCACGTGTACTTGAAAGGCACCCACTGGATGCGCATGGTGATGGAGGAGGTGGAGGAGCTCTTGGGGTCCACGGCTGCAGTGGGCAGGGCAGTGTGGAGCACCCGGGTTCAGTGAAGGGAAAAGTAGCGAGTGCGTGGCGCAAAGTTCGTCACCAGCTTGCCAGCAGCAACCACGGCATCCGCCTAGGGCCACCGGGGCAGCGGCGGCAAGAGAGGCACGGCGCTGCAAACGTGGGCCTCGTCAGCCCGGGCAACAAGGCTGCGGCGAACCCGTGCTGCCGCCAAACCAGCCGGTGGTCACCGCCTCGAGGCGCCAGGTTTTGGTGATGTCGCCGTGGGGCGCCTGCGCCGCGCAGGAGGGCAACAAGCCAGCCAGCAACAGGTCAGCAAAGACAGCGAGTGCGCTATTGCAGGCGGGCAGGCAGGCAGGCAACCAGACCCACAGCACTTCGTCGGCCACAGCACACACGCACGCGCGCGCGCGCACACACACACACACACACACACCACCAACCACCACAACACACACACACACTCTCACCTGCTGTGCCTCCCGCAGGTCGATATCAACCGACCCCAGCAGCTCGTCGCTACTGCGGGCAGCGAGGGCGCGGGGCAGAGCAGGCGCGGTGGACGGGCGGCTCGCCGTCCCCAGCTGCGACGGCGGGCAGGCAGCGCAGGCCCCGGTCCCGCCCGACAGCCCCACAGCCAAGCAAGGATCCGGGACAGGCGCGCGATGCGCCCACGCTCGCTGTCCCCTCGCTGCCGCAGCGCGAAATCATGCCAGCCAACAAGCAGGGGACCCACCGACCCACCACCCAGCCGCCCAGCCCACCTCATGGCATCATAGTCCCAAACCTTGACCGCCAGCGTCTCCGCGGCCGGCACCTGCGCCAAGAAGGGCCGACGTGAGTTGTGAATTTCAGGGCGAGCGGGTGGTGGGCGAATGGTGAGAGGGCCATCGCAGGCGGGACATGCGGTACGGTCTGGCAGTACGTACAGTCATGCAGTACAGCTGGCACCGCACCTTGAAGAAGTCGAAGCTGGTGCCGGTCCACTTGGGGTTGAGCGAGTTCATCACCGTCGACGACTTCAGCGTCTCCTGCAGGGCAGGGGGCAGAGGGAGAGGCAAGCGCGGTGGCTGGGGGTTGAGGGAGCACGAGGGCGAGATCACATGGGAGGAGGGAGTTGTTTTCTGTGGCATACGGGGACGAGGGCATATGGAGACGAGGGACAGCCCGCCGGCTACCCTCTTTCCGCTGACTGGCGTGTGCCGCTCCCAAAACGCTTGCGTTCCCACCCACCCAGGGAGCCGTACCGCACGTACGCCCTCCCGCTACAAGGGGGGCAAAGCCCGCTCACCTTGTTCAGCTTGAACTCCACGTAAGGGTCGGAGGTAGTGATGTCGGCGGCGGGCAGGTCGGCGCAGCTCATGAGCGTGATGATGACCGCGCCCGTGCTGGCCTCTACAGCAGCAGGAGCAGGCGAACACACACAGTGACGGCAGCAGGCCAACGCACACATGATGGCAGCAGGCACGACACACACACACACACAGACAGTGATATGATGTCTGTTCCCATTCTTGTGGCGCAGACACGCCGCATGCGCCCACGACCGCCGCACAGCACAGCACAGCACAGCACAGCACAGCACACCCTTGTGGAAGTCGATCAGCTCAAAGGGCCAGTAGGTGACCTTGAGGTGCAGCTCGCCAAAGCCGCCGCCCTGCACCACAGTGCAGCGCAGCACAGCACAGGGGTGGGCAAGGGAGGGGCGGACGAGGCGGGGTGGGCTGGCGAAGGGCCACGGCTGCGGCACCGGTGTGGTTGCGCAGCAACGGCAGCAGAGGGTTCAAGTGACCACGCAGACACAAACGAGATGGAGTGCCAGGCGGCGGCGGTGCCAGCACTCACGCATCCGTCCTCGTTTGAGAACTCCCCCTTGCCCAGCGGCATCTGCTTGTCCACCGTCTGGCAGGGGCGCTGCAGGGGGCAGGGCGGTGGCGGCGGTGGAGGTGGTGGGTGTGATGCTGGGTGATGGGGATGGCAGCGCATTTGTTACAGCGGCGCAGCGGGCTGAAGGTACGCGCAGGCCCCCCAGCCCAGCCCAGCCCAGCCCAGCCCAGCCCAGCCCAGCCCAGCGCAGCGCAGCCCAGCGCAGCGCAGCGCAGCACAGCACAGCGCAGCGGGGCAGCCTCACGTCTGCCAGCTCGTCGATGTCGATGCGGCAGCGCCCGATGAAGTCCTTGGCGTTGATCAGGCTGGTGGCGCCCTTGAACACATTCAGCCGCACCAGCTCCTACGGTGGGGAGGACACGGTGTGGAGGAAAGGAGGGCACGGCTTGGTGGCGAGGTCCCCAGCCGGTGGCAGGGAGGAAGGAAGGTAGGCAGCGAGGTGCGGCCCAGCGCAACAACTATCCTTCCAAATCTAAACCCAATCTAAACAAAGCGCAACCAGCTGCCCACCTTAGCGTTGAGGTAGTCTCGGTCGAAGCATTCCACGTGCAGCGACTGGGTGGTGGGCTCCTGCAGGGGGTTGAGGCAGGCAGGGAGGGGAGCGGCAGGGCGGCGGCAGTGTGGGAGGTGGGGAGAGGGAGGGCGGCGGCAGTGTGGGAGGTGGGGAGAGGGAGGGCGGCGGCAGTGTGGGAGGGGTGGGAAGGCGGAAGACAGGGAGAGCGGGCCGCACAGTACGCGAGGCGGTCTCGGCACGGGATCAAAAGCAGGGCAGCAGGCTACTTGGACACTGCCCTGTCCTCCCAGCCCATACAGCAAGGCTCCGAGTGGCCCCGCCCCTGCTGCCGCCCGCCGCGCACCTGCACCAGCAGCCAGTGGCGCTCGTTCCACACCGGGTTGAGCGTGTTCTTAATGACCTTGGTCTTCTCAACCTGCGGCACAGGCGGTACGGGTGGCACCGGCGGCGGTACAGGCGTTGACTCAGATGAAGGCAGCACACACGGCACGCCTCGACGTGAGCAGCCGTGCTCCGTTTGGGCAGGGAGGCGGCATGCGGCCCACGCAGTCGCCCGGACAACCCCGCACCCAACCCCCGCCCGGGCAAGGCCGCACCCAGCTCCTGCCACCCACCGAATCTGGTTTCTTGGGGTCCACCAGAGTGAAGAGCTCCAGGAAGGCATCGGCTGCGGGCAGGGAAGGGGTGGCAGGCGGGGGGTGGGAAGCGGCGTGGCGCAGGCAGCAAGGAGCGGTGGAGCGGCGAAAGTAAAGGCAGAGAGAGGCGCGGGGAGGCAAGACAAATTCGGGGGTTGACGTTGGGCTGTGAGCGTGTGGGTTAAAGGCAGGCGCGGTGCCATGCTCTCCCCTGCCGCGGCTCACTTGTGCCCATTGTGTCCATGCGGGGCAGGTTGCGTGCATCAACGACGTCAATCTGCAAAGCGCCCTTGTGCCTGCGGGCAGGGGGCGGGTGGCGGGATTGCTCGGTGATGGCACAAAGCGGCAGGCAGGCCGGCAGGCATGACCGGCCCGTCTCAAGCGGGGGCCACCGCCCCGTAGGTACAGCACAGCTCCTCGCGGGGGCAGCCTCCCTCAGCTACGGTACAGCATGACGGTACAGCCTGCTGTACCACAGCACCACCCACCGCAGGTACAGGTCGTCCAGCGGCCCCGTCACCGCCTCTGGCAGGATGGGGATCACCATGCGGCGCGGCCACAGCATCATGCCAGACACCGTCTCACGTAGGAACGGGTCCAGCCAGGCCTGCGCACGAGGGGGCGGCGCACGTGGGAGGGAGGCGGCGGTGGGTGTTGGCGGATGAGGCGGTTGCGCGGGCATGGGAGGTGGTGGGGCATGGGAGAGGTGGCGGCGCCGCTGCCGGAGGAGCAGGAGTGGGCCAGGTGCAAGGGAGGACGCCTAAGCTTTCTACGCCACCCTGCACACCAGCCCTGGGGCACCCCTGCGACCGGCACCCACCCACACACACATCCACACACCACACCACACCACCAACACAACACACCTTAATGGCCCCCGCCGTGTAGCCGCCGCCCATCGACTTTCCAAAGTCCAGGCTGAAGCGCACGATGGGCGGCTTGCGCAGCGACACCACCGCCGCGCCAAAGCCGGGGATCTCGGGCACCAGCGGCTTGAGGATGACGCGCAGCGTGCCGCTGCAGGGCGGGGGGCGGGGCGCCGGCCATCTCGGCTCTCCCATTTTGACACGTTGTCACCCAATTTGAAACGAGGCAGGCACGTGTGCGACCAGCCCGGGGAGGCTCAGATGGCACAACACCCGCCCACTTGCCGCCCTGCGTGTTGCAGGCGCGCAACGGCCCATGCCAACCGCCCGCCCAGCCCCAGCACTGCCCTTGCCTGCTGCCGCCCCGTCCCGCACCTGACCGCCAGGTTTGAGACCTTGGGCACCAAGCGGGTGGCCTGTCCGCCCGCCGGCAGCTCGATGGCAAGAAAGATGTTGGCATCGCCCGCCCAACGGTAGTCCACCTGTGGTGGTGGGGAGGGCGGGCGGGCAGCAGGGAGGTGCGGCTGGGCTGGCTGCTGCTGCGTCTCTGTGAATGCGATTTTCCGAAGGAAAAGCGACAGCTGGGGGGGAGCTGGGAGGGCAGCAGGCGGTGCCAAACCGGGGCGCCCGCTACATCCGCAGGCAGCCAGGCGCCCTCACCTCGATGCAGACCTCCTCCTTGTTCTCCTTGTCCACTCGGATGCCCTCCACCCTGCGCCGCACCGCAACGCACATTGCTGAGGATGCACAGCACAGTGAGCAGGCGGGCAGTGCAGGCCGACGCGGGGAGCCGGGGAGGCCCCGCCTCACAGCCCTAGACGCGACCCGCGGCTGCCGCTGCCCATCAGCATCCCCTGCCACGGGGCGTGCACATGTCGATGCGCTTCCCCAGCCCCAGACCCAGACCCCAGCCCCACCCCAGCCCAGCCCGCTCCCTACCTGAAGGGGTCATCCCCAAAGGTCAGCTTCTGGAAGTAGATCTTCTTGATGAGGCCCGGCGGCTTGAACTTCATCATCAGAGGCTCCACTTGCTCCTGCGGGGGGCGCCACGGCGAGGGGCCGCCACCGCCGTAAGGGGAGGGGCAGCAGGCCGGGGCAGGTGCCTCCCCGAGCGAACACACACAGAGTGTGGACGCACAGAGTGAGAGCACACTGTGCACAGATGCACACACCCAGAAGCATTGCCCCCCACCTTGATTGTCTTGCAGATAGCCTCATCGTAGTAAGGCCACGTCTTCTCAAGGATGCGGTTGAGCCACTGCAGGTAGCGGCGGCGCGTGGCATGCCGTGCTCAGCTGTGCTGCATGGTATTTGGGTGGCGGGGCAGGCGGCAGGCGCCTGCCGCCGGCGGGCACGCATGCAGGTACGCAGCACCGTGGCCCTTCGCATGCCGCCGCCGCCGCCATGGCAGCATGCGACCCCAACGCCCTGCCCCACCTCCATCTTTTCTGTGTCGCGGAAGGATATCCAGGTGGGGATGTTGTGCAGCAGCTCCTGCATGCCCTTGGCCCCCGGGATCACAGCGAGCTGCGGGGCGGGAAGGCGGGCAGGCAGGGGGGTGGGGCAGGCGCTGGCGCGTGAGCACGTGCGTGTGCGGGCAAGCGCGGCAATGGCGCAAGCGGGAGGTGTATGGAAAGGTGCAGCCGAGCGGCGTGCATAGAGTGGCGAAGACGGCGACCAGAAGACCCCAGCCTGCTCCCGCTGGCGTGCCCGTGCCCTCGGCCCCGTGCCCCTCCCTGCGCGCACCAGCTGCCCGCGCTCCGCCTTGCGCTTCTTGGTGAGCTGGTACATGACGGCCAGGCCGATGCCCCACACCACGCCCAGGGCCGACCCCAGGAACAGCTCGGCGCTGACCAGGTTGAGCCACTTGATGCCCACAGCCATCATGCCCACCCAGCCACTGCAGTTGGTCCGGAGGAGGAGGAGGAAGGGGAGGAATGGGACAGGGAGTGGGAGAGGGAGGAGGAGAGGGAGGCGTGCGAGGCGGGAGACGGCGGGGTGCAGCCAGGAGGGGTGTGGCCACCAGCTGTGTGGGCAGGAGCCGGTCAGTGTGCGCGGGCAGCCCACAGGCCCGCAGGCACGCACGCGACGGCCGCCTTGGCAATGGTCGACAGCTGGATGCTCTTGGCCGCCTTGCGCGCCGCCTCCTCCTCGAGATCCAGCCTAACCCTGGCTGTGGACATGCGCCTGCTCAGCTCCGAGGCGAGCTCTGCAGCAGAGCGGGGCAGGGCGGGCAGCGCGGGGCAGCGGCGGGGCGAGCGGCGTGGTTTGGCGGCCGGTTTGGCGTGTGCTAGGGCGCGGCAGGCGTGCTTGGCTGGGGCCAGGCGCGCGTGGCAGGGGTGTCATGACGCGGCTGCGCAGCGTGGCGGGCTGCGGCTGGCCGCGGGGCGATGGACAAGCACCCCGCTGCCAGCAGGCACACTGGCGGCAAGGGGGCGTAGCGGCGGCGCACCAGCGCCGCCCTCCCCGGCCTGGCCGGCTGCAGTGGCGCCCGCATCTGCAGCCGCATCATGCAGGAGCACACAGCAGCCAGTCAGGCAGGCAGCCAAGCGCTGCTGGAGAACCAGGCCCTCGCTTGCTCATCGCGAGGCACAGGTGGCAGTGGCGGGGGCAGCAGGTGCCGCCATCGGCACCCCGCGAGCCCTACTGGCCGCCTTATGGCGCTGCACCCGGCAAGCCCAGTTGCGATGCAGCACCTCAAGCTCACCTGCTGTCTTGCCTGCAGCTGCGGCCTCAGTTTCCTCGCCAGCCATGTCGCAGGTCAGGGCGCAGACACCTGCCCTCCCCTAAAGCTTGTGGATTGCTTGATCGGCGTGTGGGGGGCTCAATTGGGCTGGGACAGGGGTCCCGAGGCGTCAGGCCCAGCGCTGGGGCACCAAATTGCTAGACGGCCTCTTTGGCTGCCTGGCGGCGTGACCCAAACAGTCCTGTCGGATCGACGAGCGATGCAGCCGTCGTTTGCCCTTAGTTCTGATCCTTGCAATGTACTGCAGCCAGAGGCCACCGTGGCGGGTTCGAGGCGTCCGATCAGAACGGCACCCGGGTCGTTCCTTAGCAACGTCGGAGCCTGTGTCGGCCGTAGTGGTGCGCGCCGCCGGGACTGGAGAGCAGTCCGTCACCCCCGAGAGTCGCCTGCGCTTGCTCGAGAGGCCGCCTGAACAGCGCACCCTGTGACAAATTGTGCAAGGTGCGCATGTATGCAATACTGAGCAGCTGCTGGGCTGCAAGCCGGGGGGCATGACGGCGCCATGTCAGTGATGTGCGCTCGCCAGAAAAATCGGCGCTACAAGGCTGCTGCTGGCGCCAGCAGCTTGTCCTCGACCTCTGGCAGCGTACAACAGGCTACCAGCTGCAGGAGCAGCAATCTGTCTATAATGCCGCCACTGCCGCCCGCCGCCGCTGCACGCCGCTGGCTGCGCGCAAACGCAGCCAGCCCGTCCCTCTGCCACCCGCCGTTCTGCCTGTGCTGTGCTCTTCGATCAGCTCTGTGCCCCGCAGCCGTAGCCGCGCCACCCTGCGCTTTGGGGCAAAGTGACCAGTCGGTGCCTCCCGCGTGGCGCATATGCCCCTTGCCTCGCTTCACCGCCCCCCTGGGGACTCGCTGCCGGCATAGCACCCAGCCCGCCAGCCCACTGCGCCCAGGCTGACGAGTGCTGCCTCAGCCTGCCGCCGCCCTGCTTGCAGGTGGCCCTTGCCGGCCGCACCCGCATAGCCGCCGCTACGCCCCTTCTTCTCCGGGACCGCGTGGCCTGCACGCTGCGCCCCCTCCCGGGCAGGTCCGGCCTTCCCAGCCAGCAGGGCAGCCCCGCTGCCTGGCAGCACACGAGCCGGCGGCAGGAGTGAGAGGGAGTGAGGAGGCGCCATGGCCACGAGCGGCAAGTCTCTGGCCATCACAGCCGGCATCTATGCCATCATCGCCCTCCTCGTCTTCATCTTCTTCTCATGGTGGGCAGCCGCAGCGCGCTGCCGCCGTGGCGCCTCGCCCCGCCGCCCGGGAGCCCCGCGCCGCTGCCGATCGGCGGCGGGGCCAGGGCCTGAACCCCATCCCGCTGCTGGCGCTGCCGTGCGTGCATGCCGGGCGCGCTCCTTGGGCCATCCGGACGCGCCAGCGGCTTTGCCCTCCAGGGTCCCAACATTCGCCCCATGCGCCCTTGGGTTGTGGCCTTTGCCGCGCCGCAGGTGGCGCACCACCAAGCTCACCCGCAAGTTCTTCAGCCCCAAGCTGTACACGCCGGGGGAGCACCGCCCGCCGCCCATATCGGCACGGTTTGGGGCGTGGGTCCCCAAGGTGCGCCGGCTTGCCTCTCGTTGGCAGCGCGGGGGAGCTGGCGGGCGTGAGTGCCCCGCCCCTCCTTCCCTGCACGCCTTCCCTCCACCTCCCCGTCACCCTCCCTCAACCCTCTCCCCTCACCTGCCCCACTCCCCTGCGGTACAGGTGCTGTACATGAGCGAGGCTGAGGTGATCCGGTGCGGCGGCGTGGATGCCGCCATGTACATCAAAATTCTACGCATGGGTGAGCGCGGCGGCGCCGCCGCCTGCGCCCCCCCTCCCATGCAGCAGCAGCAGCACGGCCGCGCCGTGCCCCTCCACCCTGCTCCCCGCTGCGGCTCGCCGGGTGCTGCCGGGTGCTGCCGGGCGTGGCCCGAGTCCCTGCTCGCTCCCGCCCTCTGCGCGCCTGCCGCCCCCCGCAGGCGTGGAGATCTTCCTCATCGTGTCTTTCTTCGTGCTGGTCATCATCCTGCCCATCAACTGCACCGGCAGCGAGGTGGACAACCTGATGTCGGACCCGGTGAGGAACAAAGCAACAAGAAACTTTATTGCATCAGCAAACTAATATGACATAATATCCAGGCAGCCAGGCAGCTGGTGGTGATTGTTCGGCGGCAGGTCAACGGCGATGGTGCAGCCAGCTGAAGCCAGCCCGGGAGCCAGCCAGCCGAGAAGCCGCGCCAGAAGCCAAGTCACAGCCCAGCTGGCGGCAGCTCCCAACCCGGCCCGCCCCGCCCTTTCCATGCAGAACGGGGCTGGCCTGGAGTCCAACCCCCTCTACCAGTACCTCGTACCCAACGGTACCGCCACCAACAGCAGCAATGCAGCCACTGGGGAGGCCATCACCACGCTGCCCGGTGAGGAGGGAGGGCTGGACGCCTGGCCACGCCCGCCTGCACCTCTGCCACGCCTGCACTTCACAGTCATGTGCCCTTTCCACGCCCCCACACCGCCCCGCCGCATCGTGCGCGCTGCCCGCACCGTACCGTACCGTACCGCAGATGTGTACAACAGCACCGAGGGCGACCCGCCCCCCGGCATGATCTGGTGGCGCTACAACGACGACATCGACCCGCGCGCCTACCAGCAGCCGGAGCAAGTGCTGGGGCCCAACTACTCGACGTGAGGAGCTGCTGGCCCCAGCCCTGGCCCCAATGCTGGCCCCAGGCCAAGCGCACAGCTGCCGCTGCATGAGCTGCAGCGCAGCAGCGCGTGCGCGAGAGGATTCCCTCCCCAATAGGCCCAGCGCACAGCTGCTGGCGCTCCAGTCGCAGCGCAACTCGTGGGCGACGGGGCTGGGGAGGGGAGGCGAGGCGGTGGGCCGGCAGGGCCCGCTGCGCGCCGCCCGCCCACCGCCTGACTTGTGTGCCCCGCCGCCACCGCTGTCCGCAGGTACGGCTGGAGGTGGGATCAGGCCTACCAGCAGGTGGGCTCCTAGTGGGCTCTTAGTGGGCTCCTAGTGGGCTCCTAGTCCACCTCCCTGCCGCACCTGCCCACCCGTGCTCCCCCACCCGCCCCGCTCCCCACCCGCCCTGTTTCCCTAAAATGCTCGTCATCCCGCCCCCCCTGCTTTCCACCCACCCCTCCCCCTGCTTTCCACTCGCCCCCGTCTGCCTTCCACCTGCCCCCCCGCAGGTGGACTACAAGTTCACCTCCCTGGACAAGACCACCATTTCCAACATCCCGCCCCGCTCGCCGCGCCTGTGGGCCCACGCCGTCATCACCTGGGTTGTCTCCTTCTTCGTCTACATGTGCCTGTGGAAGTGAGGCGGGGGTGGCGGGGGTGGAGGGGTGGAGGGTGGCGGGTGGCGCGGGTGGCGGGTGCCGCTGGTGGCTGTGGAAGCGTGCTTTTGGAGCGGGTGCCGGTGCTGGTGCTGGTGCTGGTGCTGGTGCTGGTGCTGGTGCTGGTGCTGGGCTGGCCTGAGCTGGGCTGGTGGTGGGCCTGCCTCCATCCAACTCCGCTGCCCTTTGCGCCCACGCCGTCTGCGCCGCCCCACCGCGCGCCCCTCCCGGCCGCTCAGCCCTGTACCGCCTGTACTGCCCGTACCGCCGTGCCCTCCGCAGGTACAACAAGGAGGCGCTGCGCCTGCGCATCTTTTACCTGCTCAACCAGCCCCCGGGAGCAGAGTCGCACACCATCCTGTGCCAGGACGTGCCCGGCGTGGCCTGGGGCACCATCCCCAACCGCGCCGACGGCACCTTGCTCAAGATCATCCCCAAGAGTGAGTGTGCATGCGGCGGTGTGGGCTGGGGCCGTAGGGCCGGGGCGGCGGCATGCATGCACTGTGTGCGGGCCGGGAGGGGAGAGGGAGGCGGCGGCGGGCAGGCACGCATGCCACGGAGGCTCGACGTGGTGTGTGTGTGCGCGCAAGCGTCCTGAACGCTGGAGGGAGCGAGCTCCTGCTCGAGCAGGGGCACCCTGCCATGGCTGCCTGCTTCTGTCGGCTCCCTCCCGCCACCATCACCACCACCGCCGCCTCCGTGCCGCCACCCGCTGCCCGCAGGCGTCAAGCAGCAGGCCTTCAAGCAGACGGCCATGCTGGCTGAGAAGGGCAAGTCGACGGTGGGCGGCGTGGGCGGCGCGGTGGGCGGCGTGGGCAGCGGCGCTGTCAAGGCGCTGGCCGGCAACGAGGACCTGGGTGGGTGGGCTGGCCGCGGCGGGAGGGGTGGCATGCTGCCTGAGGGTGTACTGCCTGCTGTGGCGTACTGCCTGCTGCGGGGTACTGCCTGCTGCGGGGTGCTGCCTGCAGAGCGGCGCTGCCTGCCTGCATGGGTGGCTGGGCTGCTGCCGGGGTGGGTGTGCGGCGCTGAGGCAGGCTGGTCCCGGGCCGCGCTGCCCGGCGCTGGGCACGCATGGGAAGTGTGGCTACTGGCGGTTGCCCGGGCCTTGCCACCCAGCCCTGCCAGCCCTGCCAGCCCTGCCAACCCCGTCACCCTGCCGGTCCGCCTGCAGAGTCGTCCAACCTGGCCGCCGCCCAGGCCCTGAGCTCCGGCGGGCTGCAGGTGGACGCCGCCACCGGGCGCTGGGAGATGCGGGACGCGTGGGCCGAGGCGGTGGCAGGGGTGAGCAACAGCTCCGATTTTTTGCACTTGCACAGCAACAAAAACGAGCTGCTGCGCCGCGCGACTGCTGCCGGATGCGGGGCGGTGCCGTCGCCGGGCGGCCACGCGGCGGTGCCGGACGCGCGGCGGCGCCGTTGCGAGCCCTGCCGGTTTAACCCATCTCGCCCCTGGCTCCCCACCCCGCATCTCCTGCAGATCAAGGCGCACGACGGCAGCGTGGGAGCGATGGTGGAGGAGGAGTTCCGCAAGATCTACGGCGAAGACCTGGCGGCGGTGAGCCTGTGCCTGTGATGAGCTGGCGCTGAGCTGGCGCGCCGAGCTGGCACTTCTCTTGCGCGGGCTGGCGCCGAGCTGGCAGCCCAGCGCGGCCCGCGCAGCGAGAGCTGGCTCGCCGCCGATGCTAGCCCCGGGGCTCCCCGCCTCATTAGCCCCCACCCACCGCCCTGCGAAGAAAGAAGTGCAGCCAGCGCACTCGGCACGCCCAGAACATCCCCCACCCCACCTCCCCACCTTGCCCCTGACCCCACTGCCTCCCTGCCTGCCCCCCCTGGCCCCCTGGCCCACCTGCCCACCTGCCCGCAGGTGCACATGGTGCACAACACCTCGGCCCTGGACCCTCTGGTAGCGGAGTACGAGAAGCTGCGCCTGGCCTGCACCGATCTCATCGACAACTACATCTCCCTCAAGCGCCGCGGCAAGGAGATGGCGCCCAAGAAGGTGTGCGCCCGTTTGTGTGCAGTGTGCCCGTGTGTGTGTGTGTGTGTGCGCGCGCGTTCTTGTGCGTGTGTGTGTGGGGGGGGGGG